ATATCAATTGAGGTAACCTCAAAACATTTACCTTGTTTCTCAGTCTCTGTCTCTCCTCTTCAAGGTTTTTGCTCTCATCAAAGCTAGATGAATGGGCAAGAAATAATCTTGCGGGTTTCCTAAGCTCACTTTGTTGGCCGAGGATTTCGTGTGAACCGTACTTAGAAACCGTAAATTGTACCTGAATTGAATATTTAAAAATTGATAATTGAATTTTATTACAAATGTCTGAGCATGAAGTATTGATATTATTTAAACATGACTTATGGTAAAATGTACAGATTGATTTTCATACCCTGTATCTGTCAGTGAGGTATAGCCGAAACGGTGTACTTATGAATGCTGTCTTTATGGCTTCATATGCATCATTCGTCTGTGCTGAACCAATAGGCACTTGATGAAGCTGAAAAGAGTATTCTATTATATAGTACAACTTACTAGGATTTGGAAATCACATACTCGAGCGACATTACAAAGATATTGTTTCACAACATCAGGAGCGGTGAATAAGTCCACAGCAAAGCGAGTGAAACCAAATCTCTTCATATTTCCTGTTAAAGCCGTCTTCAGCGAAGAAGTGTCAACCTAAAAACCTTAATATCAGTTCTGTTCTGCTTTGTTCAGGAGAAAAAAATTGATTTTTCCTGAAAATAACGATTAATTTCCCATGATCTAGCAAAATTGAGACTAGTTATCCATCAAGTAGTAAATCTAAGTCAAGTGGAAATACCTGTGCAGGAGGAATAACAGTTGAGTTGAGCTTCCATTTGTGTCTTGGGTCAGTTAGGATAGCTTCGTCTGATTTACTACCAAATATGAACATAGGCAGATCCCTCACCGCTAACAAATTTTCAAGTAACATTGCCGATTCAGAATTGGGCACTGTCATCTAAAATGCAAAAACTGAGCAAACATCACTACTTTCTCCAGCTTCACCATACATGAAGGATAGGCACATATACGGGATGTGAGAATCTATCGCGATTCTCTTGGTACCACCGCCATGCTTCATCGGCCATGTTGCAACGTAAGTTTTCGAGAGCACGAAGGCGTTTATCCATAGCCTGTTCAATTGACCTTTCACGTTCACACAAACCTGCAGATAGAAAAAGTAGGAAAACACGTTCCACTAACAGAGACGCAAACCTTCATCTGTTTTTAGCGGGAAATTGCTGGATAATTGAAAACAAACTGTTAGACTTAAAAAAGCCAACCTAAGAAAAAAAACTCTGAAAAAACATACGATTTCTTTC